TATCCTCCTTATCCTTCTCCTCCTCATGGGCGGCTTGATGGCGTCCACCATCGTCTTCGGGGGGAAGCGGCCCTTCTCCAACTTGTATTTCTCGCGCAACACCGAGCCGAACGCGAGCTGCCACGCCGCCTGCGGGGATATGGAGGAGCACGTGCAAAAGGCGAAGGGACAGAGGGATAGAAGAAGCAGAACACGTGGATACATCAGGAGCTACAGACATGCAACTGGGCCTCCACCGATCTTTCCCTCATCGATCCTCCGACCCTTCCGCTCATAGAGCCTCCATCCTCCGATCCGCCCCTCATCGATCCTCCGAGATCCTTCCTTCATCGAGCCTCCTCGTGATCGCATCTAGCGCCTCATCCGATTCTTCCCTCATGGATCGCCGCGCCTCCATCGTATTCTGGCTGAGGCGCTCTCCGTTGGTGACGTTGTTGATCGCCTCCAGGGTCGGCACGAATGCCTCCCCTTCACGCGTTCCCACGGGCGCGGATCGAGGAACAGAATCGAGACAGTACAGTCGGGGCGTTGACCTAAGGAACCCTAAATAAGGAACGCGGCCCCTGTTTCCCATACGTTCATCCTCGGTTTCCCCTGGAAAGCCTCAGGAAAACCCGACGCAAACTGTGAAACATTCCAGGAACACCGAGCCCCTCCCCAACGAAAAGGATTCATTCTTCAGCGCCCCGACTGTATGAAGATAATGACCTATAGGCAGGGGGCACGGTTGACTACCTAGCATCTCTTGTGGACCCTTCTCCCGATCGAATCGCTCGACCTTCGTCCGCCTCATGCAGCTCGCTCCTCTCGATCCTCGGGGCAGGATGCACCCCTCCCCTCCTTCAGCGCTGCGTAGCAAGGGCGGTCACCACTCTTCTGGCACGGGTAGCTTCCGAAGTCGGGGATCGTCGGATGTCCTCGCGGCGGTGTGAGGGCGAGGCTCAAGGTTGAGATTCGGTAGGCCTCAGATGGCAGGCGTTTGCGATGAGGAGAGTACGGTTTCAATGGTGACGCAGCTGGGGGCCGATGCGGCGGCAAAGAGGGATGATACAGTCCCCAGAAGAGGCAAACGGAGGAAGCGGACCAGGAGGACGATGGACGAGCAGGATACCGATGCAGACAGGGATCTAAGTCGCGTCGTCGTCTGAACCGACGTCGCCCGAAACGTCGCCACCGTTATCATTGATGAGGAATTGCGTCGCCATGGCAACCACCGTCAGCATCATGATCATTAGTATCGCTGTCGGTGATCACCATCGGCATCATCATCGCCATCGCCATCACCGTTCTCCATCACCCTCATCATCGTAGTATTCGTCGCCATGGTTAGCATCAGCGTCGACGATATCGGCGTCAGTCGTCGAATGCGCGGCGCTAGCTCCTGCCAAGCACAACTGGCCGATCGTGTCCGTCTGGGTATGCAGCGCCTCGGGATGCGGCGCGGAGGTGAGGAACGCGAGAGGCAGATGCATGGGTCCTCATCCTCATCCCTCATCCTCATCCCTCGTCCTCATCCTCATTCTCATCCTCGTCCCTCCTCGTCCTCATCCTCGTCCTCATCCTCAACCTCGCCCCCCTCCTCATCCTCGTCCTCATCCTCATCTGCATCCCCCTCCTCATCGTCGAGCCCGATCGCCAATCCTGGCCCTCATCCTCATCCTCATCCTTATCCTATCCGTGCTCGTCCGTTCTCCGATCCATGTGCCTCGGGCTGAACTAATCCTAGAAACTCTGCCTATCGGAATTCTCATGTCCTCCTCGAGCTCCTACTCCTGGTCCCCTCCCTACTGCGCCTGCGCGGCGAGCGCCGGTTCGCCCACCCACGTTTTCGGGTTCACGAGCTTGCGCGTCATGGCCTCGAGGGAAGGCCGATCCTTTCCTTCCCGCTCCTTCTCCTCCTGAGGAGCCCCTGCCCTCTCGACCTCTGGATCTCTCCTGCTCTCTCGACCTCATGCCTCTCGACCCTTTCCCGCTCAGGGCGTCGGCGGATCCTGCCAACAACGATCGACGATCGATGACAACGAAGCGTCGCGAACTCGCGACGCTTCGTTGTCATCGATCGTCGTCATCGTATTTTGTTGGCAGGATCCGGGGCCCAAGCTGGAATCCAACACGGTGCGGGTGCGTGACCCTGCTTGCTTGCCCGAGCCCCGCCTTGTCTGATCTTTCCATATGCATGCGTTGCGCGCGCGACCGCGGGCTGGGCGCCCTCGGGCCAAGCCGCGCGGAGCGCGCGCGCGAGCTCGCGCGCGAGCATGGGTCGAAGGGCTCAAGAAACGAGGAGGCGGACGAGGAGAAGGGGGAGGAGCAGGAAGGGGAGGAGAAGGGGGAGGAGCAGGAGGAGGAGGACGAGGAGGAGGAGAAACAAAGCACGATGATGATGATGAGGAGGAGGAGGAGGAGGGGAAGGAGGAGAGGACTTGCGTATATCCTGACAACGCAAGGAAGGGAAAGAAACGCCGAGCCGAGCCGAGCTAATTGGTCGGCGGTCTCCTGATCGCAGGGTGAGTCATAAGAATTCTTTTGCCGACTCGAAAACCCAAGTGTTAAAACCCACTCATCTTATTTTTTCATTATGTGATCGAATGCGGCGTCAATGTAGGATTATAAGTTTTAAAAAATTACTGCAGCATGTATAGATTTCTATCAAGCGGGGGATGTTAACTCGAAAACCACATGTTGAAAACCCAATGCAAAACTTCATTCTCTGAACAGAAGAGGCGGTCATCTGAATGTGGAATATACAAAACGCATATACACCATGCAGCGCGCGCGGGCGGGTCACCCGCGCGCGCGCCGCCCTCCACGCGTATGTACATTTTGATACAACGGGGGCGATGTTAACTCGAAAACCCAATGGTGAAAACCCAATGTAAAAATTCATTCTCCGATCGGAAGAGGCGATCATCTGAATGTGGAATATACAAAACGCATATACACCATGCAGCGCGCGCGCGGGCGGGTCACCCGCGCGCGCGCCGCCCTCCACGCGTATGTAAATGTTGATACAACAGGGGCGATGTTAACTCGAAAACCCAATGGTGAAAACCCAATGTAAAACTTCATTCTCTGATCTCATCAATGTGGAATATACAATTTCGCATATACACCATGCAGCGCGCGCGCCGCCCTCCGCGCCCTCGTATACATATTGATATACAACAGGAGCGATGTTAACTCGAAAACCCAATGGTGAAAACCCAATGCAAAAATTCATTCTCTGATCGGAAGAGGCGATCATCTGAATGTGGAATATACAAAACGCATATACACCATGCAGCGCGCGCGCGGGCGGGTCACCCGCGCGCGCGCCGCCCTCCACGCGTATGTACATTTTGATATACAACAGGGGCGATGTTAACTCGAAAACCCAATGGTGAAAACCCAATGTAAAACTTCATTCTCTGATCTCATCTGAATGTGGAATATACAAATTCGAATATACACCATGCAGCGCGCGCGCCGCCCTCCGCGCCCTCGTATACATATGGATATACAACAGGAGCGATGTTAACTCGAAAACCCAATGGTGAAAACCCAATGTAAACATTCATTCTCTGATCGGAACGGGCGATCATCTGAACGTGGAATGCACATGCGCCAACATAATGCGGCGGCATCGGATTATTGCCCATGCGGTCGTTCAACGCGCGATCCAACAAAAAACAAGACATACGCAACAAAAACAAGACATGATACAGAAAAACAAGACATGCCCAAAAAAACAAGACAACGTCAACAACATCACAGCATGGCGCGATTTTCAAGACAAAACAGCAGTCTTGAAAAAAATGCAGCTGGAGGATGTCAGGGTAGAAACGCCCGTTCGCCTTGCCAACAAAACGCCTCCGCTCGCAGAAAGCCAATGGAATGTTCCAAAAGGCGCCGATGAGATCCAGAATGCAGATCTCGACCTTCTCGTGCTCCTGCAAGTCTGACATAACTCGAGCACGTCCTGCATGGCGTCGCTCAGCCGGGGCAGCGCGACGCGGTGAGTCCGTTTGGTGGCATTGCTCACGGAGGACCTCTTCAAGTCGAGGATGACTCGTCTCTTGAGGCGCCCGTGCTTGCACCTGTATAACACCGCGAACTTGGACAAGACTGCTTCGCCCTGGAGTCAACTGCAGACCTCCTCGCACGAGTCGAACGCCAAGAGGTACCCTTTGCCAGGCGCAGCAAACTCCTGGATCTCCGCGATGGCATCCGCGTCCTGCTCGAAGGAGGCGTAGCTGCTGAAACCGGCCTCGCATGTGACCAGGGCGCCAGGATCGACTATCGACTCGTCGGCTCGCAGCGAAGCCGGGAACACACCGCCCAGGTCGGGAAACGACTTGACTCCAGCTGGCGCACCCTCAGTCAGCCACCTGATTACGCCCGCGCCCGGGCTGCGCGCTGCGTTGGCCAACGCATCGAGGAGCGGTGCGCGGATGCAGGCTGAGCAGTGCTCCCCCGCGACCTCGCGGATCGACGACGCGTCGGCCACTTTGGCCAGAACCTGCCCCCCAGAATCGAGAGCGGCTGCGGAAGACTCCGGCAGCGGCACGCCGGCGAGATGGAATGCAGAAGGCTTGCTGCACGGAGGGATGCCCGCCCAGGAAGTCGTCGAGGGCCGATGCGACTCCTAGCCCCACGTCGCTGCACAGAAAGAGTCGCTTGATGATCTTTGCAACGCTCCCCAAGACGCCCACGGCGTCGTCGTCGAGCGCTCGCTCGACATGTCGCGGGCCCGGAGACCGAAGGCGAAGACTCTGAGAGAATGCGACCTCTGGCGAGAAACCTGCGCGCGCTGGCCGCCCAGGCGCTGTCTTCGCCAGACCCGACGATTTGCCGGAGCACAAGTCCCCCCGAACAAGCTGGTTTGACCAGTACTCGACTCGAACGAGGCGGGCCTGTTGAGCAGCGAACGCACGAGCCCCTCGAGCGAGAGCGACGGCTAAGAGGCGATTGAACTCCAGAGGCGCGCGCGCCCCCGGCAAGCCGTCAAGGCCCAACTGGCGCGCCTTGAGCGAGATCGGCCGCGCGGTCGCCGCGCCGGGCTCGCACTGCACGAGCTTCTTCGTGAACGCGCCCTCGAGCTCGCCCAACGCTGCAACCTCGGGAAGGGAGAAGACGTCGGTCGGATCCCCCCAAAATCTGGGGCTTCGAACACCCACGGCAGAGATGATCGGCGCATCGCGGCTGCAACCTCCGCGCACCTCCGGGCCAAAAGCGCCTCGATCTTAACCCGTTCCTTCTCCGAGACCCAGAGGTGGGGCACGCCGTAAATGCGCGCGGAGCCGGGCCCGCGAGGGGGCCGGAATTCGCCTCCCCTGGCCTCGCCGCCCTGCTGGAACGCGCCGAAAGTGGTCGACGGGGGAGAGAAGCGAGCGGCCCGGCAGTGCTTCTGGCAGATCTTCGCCACGATGTCCTTCCACGCGAACTCGCCCGCCAAGTCGCCGAACACCGAGTCGAGCAGCGCGCCCCGCCCGCCCGTCTCGAAACCCATCTCGAGGACGCGCGCGTCGAAGCCCTGCGCGCCCCCCGCAGGCCCAAAGCACAGATGCACAAAACGTGTGGCCGGCGTGCCTGGGCTGCCAGCTCGCGACGGCTCTGGCCGCGGCGCAGATGCAAGAATTCGCGCATTGTCCAGGTGTCCTCCCGTCATTCGCGCACGGCGCGATCGATGCCACGGTCTGGGGCGCGCGGCGATCGGGCGGCTGACCGCGCGCCAGGCCGGCGGGCCCCAGCGGCACCCGCAAGTCTGGCCCTCTCGGGGCCGCCGCGGGGCCCAGGGCCGAACGCCCGCTCTCAATATTGGGATCTGCCTCTGCCGCTCTCGCCTTTGCCTGGGCCTTTCCATTCGCGACCCCTGCCCTTTTCACGGGCGCGGCCGGGGGCCCCAGGGTACCCTGGCAGGTGTTCGGGTAGTGCGCACCGCGCATGGTGTCTGAGTAATTGGCACACTGGTGGACCTGACCCCAATTCTTCGAACGCCACTTCCCCAGAGATTCCGCGCACGTGCCATCCTGCCAGCCTTTGCACATCAGCTCCTCGCTGCGGTTCGCGGCGAAGAGGCCGTCGACGACATTGTGAGCCCGTAGTTTCTTGGCCCCTGGCTGCCGCGAAGACCTCTCAGGGACCGGCGGCGGCGGCATGGACACAGGGCGCTTGGCCCCTCTCGCGCTGGAGACCGCGGCGTCGGAGTCCACCGCGTCAGGACGTCCTCCGCGGCGTCATCCAGCTCCTTCTTCCACCAGCGGTCGTCGTCGCAGGCGGCCTTCCAGGCCGCGCCCCAGGGCTTCCCAGGGTCGAAGTCCACCATGGTCGGGAAGCCCCCCTCCCAAGCCTTAGCCCACTTTTCTTCGACACCGCGGCGAGGTCGCTCCATCTGCTCCGCCCGCATCCGCGACTCCGCCCGGTAGATCAGCGGCCAAAACGACGCTCCGTAGAGCTCGTGGAAGCCCTTGATCACGGACTGGCACTCCAGCAAGTTGCCCAGCTCGACCGCTCGAAAGCCGACGAGGCCCGCGATGCGAAGCTCGCAGCACGAGCCCCACTCCTGGAACGTGGACGGGCCATAGAGCTTGAGGGGCTTGAACTCCTCGCTGGCGTGGAGGGCGAGGCCCTTCATCTTCAATCGCTTCTGGAATCGCTGGCCGAACGGGCAGGAGACCGCGAAGTCCGCGCACGGGGCGCACTTCGACTCCAGCTTGGCGAAGAGGCAGGACAGCTGCTCGCACGCGCATTCCTTCCAAGGCGGCGGCAGCCGCTTGAACACGTTCTTGTGGGCCTGGCAGTGCGCCTGGATATCCTCGTTCCTGAGAATGGGGACCTCCTGCACCGAGACCTGGCCAACATAGCTCGAAACCTTGACCATGCCTGAAGAGGCGGCGGCAGCGGCACGGGATACCTTCACCGCCAAGTCGATGATCTGCTCGGCAGTCAACGCACGAGACTCAGCGGTAGGAGGTGGCCCCGCGGCCAGCCCACGAGCCCGCTCGAGGGCCTGGTGAGCTTTCGACTTTTCGGCCGCCTTAGCCCCGCGGGCATCGCCCTCGCCCGCCTGGATCTCCCAGGCGTCGAGCGCAACCTCGACCTCGGACTCCAGGATGCGGGAAAGCGAAAACGCAGGATCCTCCGGGACAGCTCCCAACTCGCCGACGAGGGAGCTCGCCGGCGCCTCCGCAAGCCCGCACGACGCGAATAGCGCAAGAACAGAAGCGCCGCCCATCGCTCACCCAATCTGCTACGCGACGGGCACTGGAAAGCTCCGAATCTCGATTGCCCTTGGCCCTTGAGCCAAAACGGCAACGGAGCCGCGGGGCCACGAGCAATCCGCCACGCGCGCGTTCAAGTTACATGCGCCCGCGGCTCCTTCCATCGCTAGCGACCCCGATGCCGATCCTATCCTGCCCGACCGGCAGCGTCTGCCCGCGCAGTGCCGCACGGACCTTGCGCGCGGCCCCCAGACCAGGAAGAAGCACTCGGAGGCGGCCGGGGGGGGCCGCGAGGTCCTGAGAGACCAAATGGATGTACCCCCCTGCGCGCGAAGCCCGCCTGTAATCTGTCTCCGCGGGATGCGAGCCCGCAACCTGGCACAAGTGTGTCATCAGGAGCCTCGGCACCTGGCCGCCCCCCTTACCCGCCCCCCCCTGGGCAATGATGTCGGCGAGGAGGTCTGCGCTCGAAGCGCTCGCGTTGCCCTGCCGCCGGGAGGCCGCCAAGGCGGCAGCTGTAGCCGATGGCGCTGCGATGGCGCGCCCTCCGTTGCGCGAGGCTTTCCATTTGAGTTTGAATGCTGTCGCCGCGGTGTCCTCCTGCAGCACCTGGCTCATCATGGCTGTCCATTGCTCAACTGGCGCATCGGAGAACACGAGGAGTTTCGTCCGGCTGATGGCCGCCAGCTGGGTGCATGGGCTCCAAAACTTCGGGATGTTCGCAGGGGCGGTGACTTCCATGCCCATCGCGTGGGTACCCTCGTAGATAATGGTCTGCCCAACATGCGTCGACATGGAGTCCTTGGCGGCGCAACCGCTGAAAAAGCAGCTGCCCATAGAGGTCCGTGTACGAGCTGGGGGTGATGACATCGATGGAGACGCGGGGGACGTCCGCAGTGCTAAGGACACTCCTGCGCGGACGCTGGGGAAGAAGCTAAGCATACAATGGGTCTTGAAGCATCGTCATCACCCTTGGGAGGTCCAGAGTCTGCAAATCCAGCGCGACGATACGCACACCTGCCACCTGAAGAATCGAAGCTTGCGGCAAAACCACCTGAGGCGCAAGGCGAGGGCCTTCATGTTGAAACGGAGACGACGAGGTCCGCCTTCGTCAGTCTAGGGCCAACAGGGCCTGTGCTGATCATCTCCATGGGCGCTGGGATGAAAGTGCATTGACGAACGAGCGAGGCCCCCTTCTGGCCCAAGAGCGAATGCCACCATAGCTCGGTCACTCTGGTAACCGTCGACATACCTGGCAGGAGAGCGATAGGGGCCAAAAGTTTCCTGGAGAGAAGTCGCTGGCCTGGAGTACGTCACAAGAGTGCGGCCAGGCATCTAGTCAAAGCATTATTGTCCTCCGGAGCCCAAAGAAAACATGCTTCCCGGCACACCAGCCCCACAGTTTCTCATTCCCCTTCTCGGCCACAGCCGCGATGCCCCGGGAGTCGGTCACAATGCTCTCCGAGATCCCAGTCTGCTGCAGGGACGTTGGACCACTGAGTCATAACCAACAATTGCTGGCCGTCTGGTGGAGCTTGATGCCGTAACGCCTGCAATGCCTGTTCGCCGAGCTCCTTGAAGAGGGGGAGCTTGCCGATTTTCAGCTTGCGGCGCTGCCGAAGAACACCTGGAATATGATCGTGATATTGACGTGCCGCCTCGGAGTCCCTCTCCATGAAATCAGCGGCAGCCTTTGTCCACAGTGGACCAAGCCGGCAGCCCAGCAAGGCTGCCTAGGAGAAGAGCGGACCTCTCCCTCGCTGAGATGATGTCAGTCGGGTCAGCCCTGGCGAACATAGCGAGCCCGAGACGTTTCCAAGGATCAGTCGTGCTGTATCGTAGGCCAGCTTGGAGTACAGAGCCCGAAGAGCGTGCCAGTCTGGAGGGCTGCCACCAGAGTTGGCGGTAGCCACCGCCTGGACAAGATCAAAATGTTGCAGAACTTCCCCTTCGACGAACACGTGAAGCATGCTCGCGGGCACCGTAAGTGTGGAAGGGCAGCCCGCGACGTCGATGGCGCCCAGGACGGCCATCTCGGTGTCCACCTCGGGGGACGGGTCGGTCGTGAGGTTGCCGACGGCCTGCGGCAGGCTGGTGTGGTCGTCCTGCGAAGCCCCGGATTGGCCATGGCCGGGCAGCTCTTGCCCGCAGCGCCGGCAACGGCCCATCTCATCGGCCATCGCTGGGAGCGCGCCGAAGAGCGGGCAGGCCGCGTGTGCGCACGCCATGGGTGGGCACCTGAATAGGAGAGGACTGAAAGAGCCTGAATGCGCCCTGTACGGGCTGCGTATGAGTATCATTTAACCGATCCCCATCCCCAGCGGCGTGGCCTGGGCCCCACTGGCCGATTTACCCCCCTTGATGGGGATATGGGCCGTTCCCTTCGGGTTTCGAGGGGTAAACCCCCAACTGGGGAGGTAATGTGGTGGGGGTCTCGAAGGGGATGGGGATGGAGATTGGGATGGGGATCGGTTAAAAGATACCTAGCGTAACCGGCGGCCCAAGTACGAGAGCGAGCTGCGCAACAGGCAGCACAAGTACGACAGTGAGCTGCGCTCCATGCGGCCCGTGGACGAGGACCACCTCCAGTACGACACCAAGTGCGCCACCAAGATCGACACCAGGCACGACACGACCGAGCAGCCCGACGGGGTCACTAAGTACGTCGCCTCGTACAGATACCTGCGGACAACGGCCACGCCGCATACGACGAGCACGACCACGACGTCTATAACAGGCACGGCGAGCACAGCTGCTACGACGAAAACACCGCATACGGGCTTCTCACATCGCCACCAGATTTGCGAGGGCTGCAAGCAGAACGAGGAGATCCAGAGCAACCTGCTACGCGACGTTGGCCGCCAGCAGAGCTACGAGAGCAAGAAGCAGAGCCCCAAGAACCACCCTCTGTGCTACGAGGGCCACCAGCAGCGCTTCGAGAACCACCAGACGCGATACCGGGGCCATCAGCAGAGCCTCGAGTACCACCAGCCGAGCGTCGAAGATCACTATCTGTGGCACCAGGGCCACCTACCGAGCTGCCCGAGCGTGACCAGCACGGTCTCCTGCGTGCCGCTTGCGCCCAAAGAGTAGGATGCCACGACTTGGCAGCCGAAGACTCCAACCCTGACCCCGTGGACTCCGACTTCGAGAAGGACGTCAAGGTGCCTCGACCACTTCCTGGGCACAGGTGTACGAGCACGAGGACGCATCCGAGCTCCGCGGCGAGGACCAGAGGAGCTCCGACGACCAGCAGAACTAGAAGGACATCCAGGAGAACTTCAAGAGCAATCAGCCAGAGTACCAGGGCAGCAAGAGCTTCAGGAGCACAGCGCAGAACCACGAGACCCACAAGCTGAGCTACGAGAGCCGCAGGCAGGACTGAAGAGGACCGTCAGCGGAGCCACAGCAGGAAGAGAAGGGGAAGGAGGAGGAGAGCCCGAGCCAGGAATCCCAGGGGGTCGGGACAGCGGATGATGACTGACTATCGGCTGAGCTACAAGGGAACAAGCAGAGCTACGGGGACCACCAGGCGCTCTACCGGAGCCACCAGCTGAGCTACCAAGGCCACGAGCAGAGCTTCGAGAATCACCGTCAAAGCCACGAGACCCACTTGCAAAGCCACGAGGGTCACAACCACAGCGTCTAGGGCCACAGGCAGAAATACGACACTGACCTGCAGAGCTAGCGGCAATACTGCCAGCCCTTCAATTACCACGAGCTGAACTATGAGGACCACAGGCGCAGCGACGAGAGCCATCTCCAGAACTACGAGGACACGCAAGCTCAACTACGAGGGCCACAAGCAGGGCTACGAGGACCATCAGCTGAGCCACGAGGGCTGCAAGCTCAGATACGAGGGCCACAAGGCGGAGGCGGAGGCGGCGGAGGAGGAGGAGGAGGCGGAGGAGGAGGAGGAGGCGGAGGAGGAGGAGGCGGAGGAGGAGGGCTACGAGGACCACCAGCTGTACCACGAGGGCCACCAGCCGAGCTGCGAGACCTACGAGCACGGCTACGAAGACCACCGGCTCAGCTACCGGAGGCACCAGATATGTTTGCAGGCAACACGCAGACCTACGACAGCCACCAGCAGCGCTATCAGGGCCACCAGCGGACCTTCTCGGACCACAAGTTGAGCCACGAGGACCACAGGCGCAACTGCTACAGCCACCAGCAGAGCCACCAGGGCGACGAGCTGTGCTTCAAGGACCACGTGCAGCCCCTCGAGAGCCACCAGCCCAGCTGCGAGGGCCACGTGCTGAGCTACGAGGACCACAACTTCAGCTACGCGGGCCACAAGAAGAACTACTAGATACTCCCGAGTTTCTAACGCGTTCCAGCAAAGCCTTTCCGGAAAGCACTGAACGCAGTGTCCCTGTGCCTCTTTCTCGATCTGGGGGTCCATGTTGTGAACTACCGAAGCGACAAACTAAACTTTAAGGACCAGGAACAGAACTTCGAGAACCACTGGCTCAGCTGCGAGAGGCACCTGCCCAGCCACGAGAGGCAGAGAGAGAGATATATATATATATATACAGAAAGGAAAAGTAACCAAAAAAAGCAAGAATTAAAACAAAAACTGAGAGGACGGAAGAGGAAGGAGGACAAGAAGGACGACGACGAGGACGGAGGCAAAGAAAGGAGGAGCACGAAGGAGGAACACGATCATGGGAGGCAGAAGCCCAGGACGAGCAGGAGACCGTCGGGACGGGCGATCGACGACCACGATCACGACCACGACCACGACGAAGGCGAACGGCGGACCGAGGATGACGAGAACTATTTTTGTTCGGCGCCGGCCTGGCGTGGCGCGTCGCCAGGCCTGACGGGCGCCGCGGGGGCCCCGCCTCACTGGCGCGTGGTCTGCCTCGGCCAGAAGCCGGTGTAGGTCAGGTGGTATCTGCCGCCTGCGAGGGCCCTTCTCGATCCTCCTCTCTCCCTCCTCCCCTCCTCCCTGGTTCCTCTCCCCTCTCTCCTGCCCCTTCTCTCCCTCCATCTTCCTCCTCCTCCTCCTCCGTTACTCTCTTCTCCTTCTCTCAATCCTCGCTCCTATGTCCTCTTTCCTGCCGATTCCCTCTCTCCCTCTCTCCTTCTATCTCCATCCTCGATCCTCCCACCGAACTCACGCTTCCCCCCTCCTCTCTCCTCCCTCCTCCCTTCTCCCCCCTCCTCCTCCCCATCATCCTCATCTTTCCCTTCCTCCTCCTCATCCTCCCCCTCCCCTCCTCCTCCTCCTCATGATCCTCCTCCTCCTCCTCTCCCTCCTCCTCCTCCTCCTCCTCCTCAGTAGAATATAATCATTGTTATTCGTGATAGTTTCATTCTTGGCTTTCAAATTAGTCTAGTAGTAGTAGTAGTAGTAGTAGTAGTAGTAGTAGTAGTAGTAGTAGTAGTAGTAGTAGTAGTAGTAGTAGTAGTAGTAGTAGTAGTAGTGGTAGTAGTAGTAGTAGTAGTAGTAGTAGTAGTAGTAGTAGTAGTAGTAGTAGTAGTAGTAGTAGTAGTGTAGTAGTAGGTAGTAGTAGTAGTAGTAGTAAATGGTAGTAGTAGTAGTAGTAGTAGTAGTAGTCGTCATCGTGGTAGTGGTAGTGGTAGTGGTAGTGGGAGTGGTAGTGGTAGTGGTAGTGGTAGTGGTAGTGGTAGTGGTAGTGGTAGTGGTAGTGGTAGTGGTAGTGGTAGTGGTAGTGGTAGTGGTAGTGGTAGTGGTAGTGGTAGTGGTAGTGGTAGTGGTTGTGGTAGTGGTAGTGGTAGTGGTAGTGGTAGTGGTAGTGGTAGTGGTAGTGGTAGTGGTAGTGGTAGTAGTAGTTGTAGTAGTAGTAGTAGTAGTAGTAGTAGTAGTAGTAGTAGTAGTAGTAGTAGTAGTAGTAGTAGTAGTAGTAGTTGTATTAGTAGTTGTAGTAGTAGTAGTAGTAGTAGTAGTAGTAGTAGTAGTAGTAGTAGTAGTAGTAGTAGTAGTAGTCGTAGTAGTCGTAGTAGTCGTAGTAGTCGTAGTAGTCGTAGTGTCGTTTTTATCGTAGTAGTTCCGTAGTAAGGTCGTCGTATTGAGTAGTATATAGTAGTAAGTAGTGGTGGTCACAGTAAGGGAAAAGTAGTAGTAGAGTAGTAGTAATATTAAGTAGTAGTAGTAGTAGTCGTAGTAGTAGTAAGTAGTATAGTTCGTAAGTAGTCGTAGTAGTCGTAGTAGTCGTAGTAGTCGTAGTCGTAGTCGTAGTCGTAGTCGTAGTCCGTAGTCCGTAGTCGGTAGTCGGTAGTCGTAGTCGTACTCGTAGTAGTCGAAGTAGTCCGTAGTAGTGCGTAGTAGTAGTAGTAGTAGTAGTAGTATAGTGTTAGTAGTAGTAGTAGTAGTAGTCGTAGTCGTAGTCGTAGTAGTAGTAGTCGTAGTAGTAGTAGTAGTAGTAGTAGTAGTAGTGGTAAGTAGCAGTAGCAGTAGCAGTAGCAGTAGCAGTAGTAGTAGTCAGTAGCAGTAGTAGTAGTAGTAGTAGTAGTAGTAGTAGTAGTAGTAGTAGTAGTAGTAGTAGTAGTAGTAGTAGTAGTAGTAGTAGTAGTAGTTGTAGTTGTAGTCGTAGTAGTCGTAGTAGTCGTAGGTCGCTCGGCCTCCCATCCTGGGGCCTGCAGCCATAGCTCCCAATTCTTGGGGGTCTTGGGCACTGCAGGGGTCATCCTGGAGGCCTCTCTGGACTCTCTTGTTGATTTGCCACTGATGCCTTGGAGCTTTCTTCGGGCCACCTCGTCACGATGGGAAGTCACACTCCTTTCACGCACAAGTGAGTCAGGAAGATCGGTCGCCCCAGGAACGAATGATCAACGCTGATCGGGAAGGTCTCCGCGCAGCTGAACGCCTACGGCGTCTGACTTACAGTTCGGGGCTTGGACGTACGTATGTTGTTGTTGCCACTACTTCTGCACCTGTCACCAACGCCTACATTGCCGCTGCTACACCAGCTACTCCTACTGCTGCTGGTAGTGCTGCCTTGTCTCCGCTTTCTCTCGTCTTCCCATCCGCCCCCTTCGGCAGACGCTTCCTGCTGGGGCGCGAGAAACTCAGATTCCAGGGCATATTCGAGGAGGACCTGAAGGACTTGGACTGCGTCCCAGAGAGTGTACCGCAGGGGCATGACAATGGCCCCTTCTGCAGTTGTCCCTGCCCATCTGCCCCCTTTTTTGTTGTTATGTTTTTTGAATGGAGGCGTCGTTCTCCTGCATCGGATCGACAAGGAGCGAGGAACCGGTGATTGGGGAGGGCACCAAGGGGCATGTAGACGTTGAGTGGAGGGGCTTCGCGAACTTGGCGCCTTTGGGCGCCACTGGTCTGTCTGTCTGGTCTTGGGGCTCCCGCCAGTCTGGTCTGTCTGTCTGTCTGTCTGTCTGTCTGGTCTGTCTTTCTGGCTTTGCGAAGTTGGCGCCTTTGGGCGCCTTGGGGTTTGACGCCGTTCTGTCTGGTCTTGGGGGCTCCCGTGCCAGTCTTGCAGCGATCTTTGGACGTCGTGAGAGCAACGCATGTGTTATCGGAATTAAGGGTGTGGAGGGTGGGGGCGGGGCGGGCGAGGGAGAGCGAACGTCGGACGGGAGTATTCCATAGGTATGAGGGGGGGGGAGAGGGGGGGGAAGGGGAGTTGAATGAGTAGGGCGGAGTGCGGAGGAGAGGAGCGAGGATGAATGATAATAGGAATGAGGTGGAAGGTCGAGGCAAACAGGGGGGTGGAAAAGGAATCCGGGATACTGGGGCAGGAGGGGGACATGACTGGAGGAGGGAAGGGAACGGGCAACGAAGGAGGAAAGACCATGAAGTAAGGACAAGTAAAACGAGTGATGTGCGCGCTCGCAAGGGCGATCCCTTGCCGTGCTCAGCCTGCTTGAGGGAGACCCGTGCTGGCGAGCGAGTGTGGCGCCGATTATCAGATGGTCGAAAGAAATCTGGCTGTGCCACACTCGTGCTTTCCCGTGGAGTTTGTCTTGGGCGGAACTGCGCGAGGGCTGGATGCAGACCTTCAGCCACGACAACCAGTCGTGGTCTAAGGTTCGTGGGCCGCTCTCGGCCCTCCGCATGTGTATCTACCGTCTGGGGTGGGCTATGCCTGATTTTACCACTCTCAGGGACGACTTTGGGAGAGATATTTCGCTGACGCTTTCCCCCCCCCGCTTAATCAAGGTCCTGTGTCGTGACGCGGTGCTCAGAAACCTTGAGCGGGATTCTGGAGATAAGTACGGGGTGGGGTACAGGCTTTGTTGGGATGTGGTCAAGCAGCAGCTCTCGTCGTCCAAGATCCCCGCCAAGGCCAAGGGCATCATGAGAGCTCAAGCTTGTCGGGCGTTCTGGACAGGAGCCGATGCTGAGGCGGCTGGCTATTCCGAGGTGTCGAGTCTCTGCCCGTTATGTGGTGTCGCGAAGGACACCTTGCACCATCGGCTGTTTTGCTGCTCGGCGTGTGACGAGCAGCGCAAGGAAGTGCTACCCGCTTGGCTAGTGGAAGCTGCCTGTGATACGTCTAACCCTGATGATGAGGAAGAGCTGTTTCTGTATGGGGCGTTCCGTCACCCAGGAGATGTTGCCCCAAGACCCCTGTGTGATGGTGGTGTCTCTCTTGTGTGGCATGTTGAGGACCTCCCTCCTCCTCCTCCTCCTGCGTGTGGTGCTGACAAGGTGGCTCCAGGGGATAGCATGTGGGGATATTTGTTTATGGACGGCTCTTGCCACAGGCATGTGGTGAAAGAGCTGTCGATTGCGGGCTGGGCGGTGACCATGGTGGGGAAAGATGGCGAGCTCCTAGGTGTCCTGAAAAGGGCCTGTGTGGGCCCCGTGGCCTCAGACCACCCAGGCCGCCGAGTATGCTGCGTTCGCGTTCTGTGGAGCTTATGCCGATGCTCCGTCCGTGTGCTACAGTGACTGTCAAAATGTTGTGGGCCACGTGGCGCTCGGTGCCGATGCGCTCTGTGGCAAGAGGCAGTACACGGGTCTCGTGCTTCAAGGCAAGCACCATTTTGGAAGGAACCTGTGCGCCCTCCACAAAGTTTCGGCCCACAGGGATGTAGATGAAAGTGGCATTTCGGCTAGTGAACGTTTCAGGAGACTCGGCAACCACTTTGCTGACCAGGCTGCCAAAGAGGCGGCACAAGTGCACCCCTCCTTGACTCCTGTTGAGGCTGACGAGCCCGATAGGAAGATCAATATAGCGCGTCTGGTCTGAAAAGCTGGGTCTGTTTTGTTGCCTTTGTGGCCGCGTCTTGAGTTTCGAGGCACCGCCAGGTCCAGGCCCCCTCCCGCTCCTCGTAACCCTCCTCTGGATGTTGGGCACTCGTGGGCGCAGGTTGGGTCCTTCTGGCAGTGCCGAGTTTGCCTTACGGGCCCTCGGGCGCGGACCCCTCCTCCTGGGGACTGTCCAGGACACTCCAGGCTGGACCAAGGTGTGCTGCTGAGGTTGGGGCACAAGGTCGTTGCCTTCGCCTGCTCAGATCGCTCGAATTTGTTTGTTTGCTTGTCATGCAAGTTTTACAGCAGTGGCTCGCAACTTCTTAAGCTCGGCAGAGAGTGTGGCCAGCCCACCGTCACGTCAATGCGCAACTTGCGCAAGCTCAAAAAAGGGCTTGCATCCTGATAAGGCTCAGGTTGCCCTTGACATTGATGATTTTGTCGCTTTGTTATAGGAGCTTGGCTCCTCGGTGCCTGTTTGACTGAAGGAGGCATGGGCGTTGCTGCCAAAAGAAGATCACGATTGTAGGGGACGTGCGGAGAATGAAGACGATGCTATTGATGCTGCTGCTAATGATGATGCTGAGTATGAAGATGAATATGATGACGAAAATGATGATGAGGCTGATGATGACGATGCTGATGATGACGACGAAGATGCTGATTCTGATGATGACGACGATGAAGATGATGATGATGACGATGATGATGCTGCTGCTGGTGATGATTATGATGATGTGAATGCTGATGATGATGGTGATGGTGGTGGTGGTGGTGATGGTAATGATGCTGATGATGACGATGCTGATGCTGAGGCTGATGCTGATGCTGATGATGTTGATGCTGACGCTGCTGATGATGATGATGCTGCTGGCGACGACGATGATGCTGATGCTGATGATGATGATGCTGCTGTTGCTAATGCTGATGCTGGTCATGATGCTGGTGATGATGCTGATGGTCATGAGGCTGACGATGTTGATGATGATGAGGAATCTGAGGCTGATGATGCTGCTGATGTTGCTGATGATGATGATGATTCAGATGATGATCGTAGTGCTGATGATGCTGATGATGCCGATGCTGATGCTGATACTGATGACGATCTTGCTGATGATGGCGGTGTGAATGATCATGCTGATTCTGATCATGATGCTGCTGGTGATGAGTGTGATGACGGTGATGGTGGTGATGATGATTATGATTATGATTATGCTGATGACGTTGATGATGATGCTGCTGATGATGATGATGCCGATGCTGATGCTGCTGCTGATGATGATGGTGCTGTTGCTGATGATGCGGATGATGATGATGATGCTGATGCTGATGTTGATGCTGCTGTTGCTGATGATGATGATTATGCTGATGTTGATTATGATGGCTGATCATGATGATGATGCTGATACCGATGATGATGATGATGATGCTGATGATGTTGATGATGATGCTGATGCTGATGATAATGAGGAGGATGAGGATGATGCTGATGATGACGATGATGGTGATGATGATGTTGATGATGATGCTGATGCTGATGATGATGAGGTTGATGATGCTGAGTCTGATGCTGATGCTGCTGATGATGATGATGCTGCTGGCGACGACGATGATGCTGATGCGGATGATGATGATGCTGCTGTTGCTAATGCTGATGCTGATCATGATGCTGGTGATGATGCTGATGGTCATGAGGCTGACGATGTTGATGACGATGAGGAATCTGAGACTGATGATGATGCTGATGTTGCTGATGATGATGATGATCCAGATGATGATCATAGTGCTGATGATGCTGATGATGCCGATGCTGATGCTGATGCTGATGACGATGGTGCTGATGATGGCGGTGTGAATGATCATGCTGATTCTGATCATGATGCTGCTGGTGATGAGTTTGATGACGGTGATGGTGGTGATGATGATTATGATTATGATTATGATGATGACGTTGATGATGATGCTGCTGATGATGATGATGATGCCGATGCTGATGATGCTGCTGATGATGATGACGCTGTTGCTGATGATACGGGTGATGATGATGCTGATGCTGATGTTGATGCTGCTGTTGCTGATGATGATGATTATGCTGATGTTGATTATGATGGCTGATCATGATGATGCTGCTGATACCGATGATGATGATGCTGATGATGTTGATGATGATGCTGATGCTGATGATGATGAGGAGGATGATGATGATGCTGATGATGACGATGATGGTGATGATGACGATGATGCTGATGCTGATGCGGATGATGATGATGCTGATGATGCTGATGCTGATGCTGATGCTGAATGATGTTGATGATGATGACCCAGAAAGAAGCGGGCAGAGAAAAGCAACAAGGGACTCTCAGGGAACACTTGAAACGATACTAGAGGTCAAGCCACATTAAAAGGCTAGTGCACGCCAGCAACGAACGCGACCGACCCAGCGAAAGGGAACACACTTCAGCATGTGTTGCGGGGCCACGAACCTAACGTCCCAGCCGGGAGCCCGTCTTTGCTTTATCGTGGAACAGGAGGGGCACATGGAGTATCTGCCACTGACGAGGGCGGTGCAAGGGCTCTGGGGTTGAATGATGATGCTAATGATGCTGCTGCTCATGAATATGATGATGATGATTCTGAGGGTGATGACGATGACGATGCTGATGGTGATGATGATGGTGATGCTGATGCTTATGTTGATGATGATGATGATGTTGATGACGATATTGATGATGATGATGATGATGGTGATGACGATGATGATGGTGATGATGATGATGTTGGTGATGATGATGATGATGATGACGATGATGATGACGATGCTGATGATGTTGGTGTTGATGATGCTGATGATGATGATGACGATGATTATGCCGCTGCTCATCATGATGCTGATGCTGATGATGATGAATGATG